CAAGCCTGGCATATTTCAAATATGAAAGTGCATTTCAGCTAAGAAGGGGGAAGTGATTTATAAAAGGCTTTAGGGAAAGGCTTTCTACTGAGGATAGAGAAAAGACATGGCAGAATAACTCTTCAGAGACGGAGAGTGGGAGGGTGCAGCTGAACCCAACGTTATAGATAGCAGAGCAATCGGTGGCGATGAATATCATCGTGGCAGATCACAGTACAGCAGCTCTACATTCTGCTCCCTGAGGTTGTAACAATACCGGAGAAATAATGAAATGAATGTCATTGCTTTAACCCCCATAAACTGCTGGTTCCCAACTGTTAAACAGTTGCTTTTCAACCAATGACAATAGACCTTTTGTCATTGTAGAGTGCCGAGCTCAACTCTCTAGTGTGCACATTAGCTGACATGTGTGATATAAATAGAGGGGCAGAAATTGGGAAGATATGTATTCTTTTGTCTTTGCTTGACAAAGCTCATGTGGTTCAGCTTCAGCTTCAGCTTGTTCTGCTTATTCAAACATACTTACTTTAAATGACCAATGCAGCCACACACTTCCACAGCAGCAGATCTCCTACACTGCTGAACGCTAATGCAGTCAAACATTACCACTCCACACTATAGGAAGTCCTGCTCTTTCTGTAAATGACAGAATTAAAATGATCCGTTTTAGATGCAGAAACACAACCAGCCGTTGGAAACAGATCCAATCGTAAATACTGAGGTTTTTGAAGAATCCTCTACATTGAATTTCTTTTGGGTCCCTCTGCAACACTTGGCTATGCCTTAAAAGGAAAATAGCCAGAGGGGTAAAAACTATTGCACCCAAAATAAATCAAGTTATTATGATGGGAACGGTGTACGAGCTAAAGCTGCAGTTCTGAAGTGAATACATCTTCATAAAATGTTTCAAAATTAGATAAAAGGACATCTAATGTAACATAAAAGCCTGTATAGGATGCTGCTTAATAACATAAATAAAGAAATTATACTTGTTATTGGGCAACTAAAACGCAGGAAAATAGTCTTCTTAACATGACAAAATCTTGACGTTTCTCGCCTCATAACATGTAGATAGACACTGTAAATAAACGCCCATTTCCTAATAATCTTTGCCGGTGGAATACTGAAATAAACTCTTAACACCAAGGCGTCCGTGGTTGTTTGGTACCTGGCATGAGTTGCTGTCCAGTGATTCCGATGGGAGGCATCCCCAGGTTGTTCATGGCCGTTGCCCAGGGGTTGGGGTCTGGCATGGGCATCGTCATCGTCATCGAGTTGGAGTCCATCGTCATGTTACAGATCCCTTCTGCGGAAAGACACAAGGAAAGGGGACGGAGAGAGGAGTCAGTATCTTCCCTGCCTCCTATAAATCATCATGATACAGGGTCATGCCAGAGGAGGAATCGTGTTACGGTCAAGACTGAGGTGGGAGATTGCTTTCAACAGTGTGGCGCTGTCATGGCGTCTCCGGCCACCTCCTCTCTATAAATCCTCCTTTATTTCCGTGTTCTGTCTGAGGGGAGAGAGGAGAGGGCGGCCCACTGTGACCCTGCAGTCAGTCTGACACCAAAGTGGATTCAACAACACCGTCATTAAGAATCTATTCATCCCGTTGTTGCGGGTTTGTTCACTTGCCGCAACCAATGTCTAACAGCCTGGCCTGTAGAATCATTTAATTATTTAAAAAATAGCAATGGGTTCATATATCTACACAAACTGTACACCAATGACTACTCCAGTGAAAGATCAGAGCTTTCATTTGCAAGTCAGAGTAAGAAAATAATGCAGCGTAAAACAAGATTATCATGGCACTAAGCATAAATCCTGATGCTATCAGGCATTTGCCAGGCGCTCTGGTACTAAACCTTGGAAAAATCCCCAACTTAGCACGACACACACACACACACACACACACACACACACACACACACACACACACACACACACACACACACATCACCTCAAACTCACAACCACAGACTCATGGTTTACTGCCAAGTGTTGCATAATAAATCAAACACATTTACATCCCCATAATAAAACCCCTCGCAGTAAAGTCAACATGAACGCATCGGCTCATTCTCCCAGTCTGCAGCTCTAAATGCTGCGATGCTCTCTCTCCTCCAGTCGACCTCTTTCTCCTCAACAGACCTGTAAATTGCTGACTGCTGGCTGAGCCGAGCTGCCCTCTTCTCTCCCGATGCCAAAGCCAACACCACTGTTAATAATGAGAAGCGCTGCACCCTGCACACACACACTTCACACCTCAGAAGGTCTGTGGCAGAGCCCACTGTGGAGGCAACCCTGAGCTCTGTGTAGAACCGTGTGTGTGTGTGTCTGTCTGCACAACAACCACTATGTTGGTATTTCTGGTGTTCAGACACAGCTGGCAATGTGTAATGATGTCATTTGCCTCTTTGTCTTCCTCTCTGGGCTGCTAATTTCGGAGCTGTACGCCGTCACCGCCATGCAGAGGCCTGATAAAGAACCGCCTGTGTCCGTATGTCGCTGTGATAATGCTGCTTCCCGAGGACTTCATGGGCTTGTTAACCAACACAACCCTATTAACTGGGGACACTTTCGAGGAGCGGTGGAGAGCTGGTTTACAGCAGTTTTGATACAGTTTACGGCGCATTAACGGTCGTCACTGTTCCTGAACACACACACACTCAGACTGAGGACATCACCTGTCAAACCCTGAGTTCCCTTGCTTGGCTACACAAATAACAATAATTGGAGTTGGGGAAAACAATATCTATATGTTGATAAGATATAGAGTTCGACATGGCTTAGATTTGGTAATTGTAATATTGAGATAATCCTACATTTCTTAAATTCTGTGTTTCTGTGAGTGATAGAAGCTTATTTGGGTCTTTGAGTTCAATAAAATCAACAAATCTTTCGACAAATTAAAAGTGTTGAGTGCAGTTGTGATGAACATTACATATATATGTTTATACAATTATATTGAGGTGAATAATTCACGATTCCTTTTGTCAACTAAATGCCTAAAAGCAGTAAAAAAAAGTCCCGTCACAATTTCCCAGAGACTTCGATGACTTGTTTGCCAAGATTGAACCAGCAGTGCCCATCTAGTTTATCTGTAAATGGTTTCTCAATCAAATTTCTAGAAAATGTTCTCTATCATGATATATACAGTATATCACAATAGTGATGCACCATGACTTACATCATACTCCCACGACAAATAATAATAACAATCCGTCACCTCGGTCAATATTGAACAAATAGGACTCCTTACTCCACGTGTCCCTCTGTCCTCTCGTCTCATCTACTGAATTGTGAGTGAAAACACAACACACCGTTTGGTCTTTGATGGGAAATCATTCAAGGTCAACGGCTTTCTAAAGACATTTCAGCAGAATTCATGTCTGTTCATCACTGGGGGACGGAGTTGTTATTGACCGTGAAGGCTTTCATTCATTTGACTGGATGGCGTGCCGTTAGTACCGGGTCAGGTTAAGTCCTCTACAGTAGCCTTCAGACCCCGCTGACAATAGTCCTACACCTTCACTTCATCCGTCTGGCCCTGTGCTCCCATTCATTGAGTGCATCCTTAACCTGGTTCATTGCTTTTTTTTTCCATTGCCTGTCCTTCATCCAGTGTCTCTCTCACACACTCTCCGTCCTCCATGAATCAATTATACTTGTCAGACTTGCAGCTCTGTGTGTCAATCACTGAGACCTTTTGATTTTGATGTGGCAAAGTGACCCTGAGGGCAGGAGTGAGCCTTAAAGGAACCGTCCCACAGCATCACGTCGATATGTAGAGCTGAGGGAGGAATAGCAAACAGCTGCTGTGAAAAGCAACACAGGGATACACTCATGAGCAAGTAAACAGCCCGGCACACATACGTTAACCTTGCCAGAGAGGGGGAATGGGAGCCAGGGACAATACTGCCAATGAGGGAATCAATGTGGGTAAACATTTTGAAGTGAAAACATGGATTAGAGCCGTCTGCTTTGCTGCTTTGAAGCCAATTGTCTGCATGGGATGAAAAGTAGCTAATTGAGTCCCGATATTTCCTTGTTTATTCAAAGGTCCAACGATCAGAGAAAGGTAAGAGCAGCGGAAAAAAACAAGCCAAAATATTTTCAGCTGTGTGCTCAGTGTATCTTGAGCTTATATATAAAGGGAACACTTAAGCAACACATCCTAGATCTGATTGAATGAAATAGTCTTATTAAATACTTTGTTCTTTACATAGTTGAATGTGCTGACAACAAAATCACACAAAAATTATCAATGAAAATGAAATTTATTAACCCATGGAGGTCTGGATTTGGAGTCACACTCAAAATTGAAGTGGAAAAACACACTACAGGCTGATCCAACTTTGATGTAATGTCCTTAAAACAAGTCCAAATGAGGCTCAGTAGTGTGTGTGGCCTCCACGTGCCTGTATGACCTCCCTACAACGCCTGGGCATGCTCCTGATGAGGTCTGCATGGATGGTCCGGATGGTCTCCTGAGGGATCTCCTCCCAGACCTGGACTAAAGCATCCGCCAACTCCTGGACAGTCTGTGGTGCAACGTGGCATTGGTGGATGGAGCGAGACATGATGTCCCAGATGTGCTCAATTGGATTCAGGTCTGGGGAACGGGCGGGCCAGTCCATAGCATCAATGTCTTCGTCTTGCAGGAACTGCTGACACACTCCAGCCACATGAGGTCTAGCATTGTCTTGCATTAGGAGGAACCCAGGGCCAACCGCACCGGCATATGGTCTCACAAGGGGTCTGAGGATCTCATCTCGGTACCTAATGGCAGTCAGGCTACCTCTGGCGAGCACATGGAGGGCTGTGTGGCCCTCCAAAGAAATGCCACCCCACACCATTACTGACCCACCGCCAAACCGGTCATGCTGGAGGATGTTGCAGGCAGCAGAACGTTCTCCACGGCGTCTCCAGACTCTGTCACATCTGTCACATGTGCTCAGTGGAACCTGCTTTCATCTGTGAAGAGCACAGGGCGCCAGTGGCGAAGTTGCCAATCTTGGTGTTCTCTGGCAAATGCCAAACGTCCTGCCCAGTGTTGGGCTGTAAGCACAACCCCCACCTGTGGACGTCGGGCCCTCATACCACCCTCATGGAGTCTGTTTCTGACCGTTTGAGCAGACACATGCACATTTGTGGCCTGCTGGAGGTCATTTTGCAGGGCACCGCAAACCTTCTTGCCACAGCTCGCATTGATGCGCCACCTGGATGAGCTGCACTACCTGAGCCACTTGTGTGGGTTGCACAAATTTACAATAAAATATGGTAAACAAAAACAGACAAGTATATTATTAGAGAAATAGTAGAATATTAGAAACTGTTATCGACTATTTTGAGAACCCATCAGTCGTGCAAGTCCTTTTTTTAAGCAAAACGTGATAAATGTGCTGGTTCCATCTTCTCAAATGTGTTTATTTTCTAGTTCTCTTTGTTAGTTTTCTATGATATCAAATATCTTTGAATAAAATACTGTTGATTGGGCAAAACAAGCAATTTGAATATGTAAACTTTTTGGAACTGTTTGGAAACTGTTATGGTATAATTTACAATTTCCAACTCAACGCCAGTATCTCTGCGTTGAAACTGCCCCGTGGCAATTAAAGCGATAGTGCTTTTGATTTAGCCGGGGTCCACGCCGGCCCGAGGCTTTCCTGATACTCACTCTCTGTGGGCTGTGACCGGCTTTTAGCTCCCCTAAAAGCTCCCCCAGGAGGCAGATAGGAAATTAAGTCATTTTAAGGCCCATTGGCTGTAAGACCCAACAGCAGGCAGAGAGAGACGCTAGGGGCCATTTAGTCTAAAATGCACATGGTTTTAACAGCTAACTACAGGTTTATTACGGCCCCCAGGGAGCCAATTCAAGAGGCTGCTAAAAGATGAGCAACGGCGACAGAAAGAGAAAGACAAGATGGCTTTTAATAGACAGATGTGATGCCGATGGGACGAAATGACAGAAAGACGAGTGAAGTAGAAAATGGAAGCTACCTCAAATTCAACTTTCATCATCGCAGCAATGAATAAAAGCACAGACACCTGATGATAGTCATTACAACAAAGTAGGAATTGCGAAAGCCTACAATTAACATATAATATAATGTCATCGCTGATCACAATGTGGCAGAGCAGATAGATGAGCTTAATTAAATTTCAACACTTCTCCTCCAACCAAAGGAAGAAAAAATAAAACGGGAGAAGATGTCGGCCATTATCCATCTGTAAGGCTGTGTGAAGGGTCCTCACATATGCATGGGAAGCACATACTGTAGAAGAAGAAATGCCGTCGCTGCA